AAATTTATTTACCTTGCCTATATGTCCATCTAGCAAAAAGCCATTAATCATTTACATAAACGCAGTGTTACGAACTACAGGTGCCAATCACCGGCCAACGGATCATTCTACGAGAGACGCATGAATGAAACCGGGGTTTTGTGTTTGCAACAATGAACGGAGGAGATTGCTTTCGAATCGGTGGTACTTGCATTCATCCATATTAATAGCTAGGGGCTGCACCAAAGCTTTGACAGAGAACGATCTGCCAGATTGTTTAAAGCCTCTTGGGATAGTCGGCCTGTGGTAAATTAATCATGCTCGCCGTCCCCATAGAAAGTTTTGTCTTACTCAATTGCATAGCCGGCCATTTGTTAGTTAGGCGTCTGAAGTGAAGTGCTCCACCCACAGACTGGCAACGAACCATGGTGGTCGAGATCGCCACTGATAGATACACTTGAAACCGTCCTTGAAACATCCACACCATTGAGTCATGTCTTGTTGCTGAGGCGTTGAGCGCCTCATCTCCACACAAACAGTGTCTGAAGTCTTCTGTTGATATGAGTAGTCGCGAATTTTACACCTTCGTCCACGACAAACTTCGACATCCACCAAATGCTGTTATCAGTCACCTTGAGTAACGGTGTCTGGACTGCACCAGACTGTATCACGACGCCTGCACTGGCTGCTATTGCTTATGTGATAACAGACTTGGTACCTTTTGCGGATTCCTGTTAATAATAATACTAATATTCATGTAACTGATGGTTATTAAACCATCTCGTTAATTCGCCTTAAGTCTCACTATTTAACTTTCAAATTCTTCATAGTAATTTCAGTTCTATGGAGGGCATTAACATAAACCCTATTCGATATATCCACAATACCAATCATTCGTAGTAAATAGCAGAAATGAGGTGACCACATGACAAGAAAGGCAATTTGCGTTCAAAAATATCTCCCGTCGTTTTTTTCTATGGCAAATGCAGTGGTGGTGAAAGTGGGTCACATGGGGACTACAAGCTCTCTCGTTCAAATTACGGTTAAAGCTGTGGTGACCATGCAAATATTTCCACCATCCGTAATTCCTTTGGAAAATCCAGTAGTAGCTTCCATGACCCCTATCTTTACCCTGAAAATAACTATTGCCACCTGAATCTGGTTGTAGGATAGGTACTTCTTTCTGGATTTGAGGTTTATAAAAGAGATCTTGAGTTCTGAACTGTCACTCTAAATGTTCGAATAAGTCCAAATATTTAATCCAACTTGTGCTGAAAACAAATTCATTTGAATTCTTAATAAGGATTTCCCAGTATCCATACTAAATATTTAAAGAGGAAGGGAAAATGAAAAAAATTATCGCTGGCCTCTCACTTCCACAGCAGACCCCTCCAAGAGACTCGCCTCTAATGCCGTGCCATGGCACATTACCGAGTGGTCCTGTCTTGAGCCCACGACATGCTGAGCTTCAATTGCGCGAACACCTGAAACGCATTTTCAACAGCTGATTCGATGGCTTAAAAAGATTTCGATGGGTGGCCCTATGAGTTGGACACAACAGCAGCCATTGTCAAGGGGATTTGTTTGGAGCTCGCTTTCTCAGGCTTAGACAGCCTCCTTTTATTGTCCTACAGGCAATTAAAGCTCACGTAATCATAAAATCAGACATGACTCTGAGAGCATCCGGAATAAGATTTAATGAGGCCCGTTTACAGCTCCTAACAACAAGCAACTCAGCCATCACCAGGTCTCCTGTCTTCTGACTCGGTGCAAATCAAATCAGCCTGATAGGTGGCCAGTTGATAGCTCACTTTATCGCGTCTTCCGAAAGTGGCACTTCGCAACTGCTTCCAATTAATCAAAGATGAGTTTATTAACCATATTTAGGAATTTTCTTCACAAAATCTGCTAGGTGTGCTGCTGTCGTAATAAAGTAAAAGCAAGTACAATAAGTTGGTTGGTTATTTACTTAGTTTCTGTGGAGGAACCAATTTGGGTCTTCGCCGGGTGGGCTGGCTTCCAGGCCATGATAGTAGCCCCAACCCATACTGTACATCGGCACATTTTATGCTCCAACATTCTATCTTCCTTCGTCTTCAGAGAACTCTTGCGATGCCATGTTTGCGGCAGCGGCAAGTGAATCCGATCTTAAAGGACAACTATCCTGATTTCCACAAATGGGTGATAAACAGCGGGGCGGGAGGGCATATTGCTGTGGATGGGGAAACTGGTGACAACCCATGACGGAAGGGCTGATGATGACGTCTACCTTCGGCGACTACCGCAGTCCCACGTTATGCAGGAAATCCATTAACAAGGGAAACAACACTAGCCCTGAACCATCTGTCTACCGTACCTGTACGCCTATGTCAATTAGGTAAACACGCAATGCTCCCCCCCC